GCCTCTCTCTGCTGTCTCTGGAAAAACTTCGTTCTGCAACCCGGTGGATAATCTCGAACAGCAGAGACAATTCTTCTTGGAGGATAACGGTGTTGTCAGCATGGTTTATTACCACGAGAGCACGAGACCGCGGCTAGAGGACGTGACCACAGTGGGAGAACATGACCACGCTGTTCAATATTATGAGTCGATGGGGTGATGTGACGAGTCCACGGTGGAAGGCGAGACCACGGATAACAACTAGTCAAATTGTTTTGATTCATGAAAAACCTGGCTCTGATGCCAATGATAGAAATTGGGTAATTCACAATTGGAAACTGATGTCGCTTAGACTATCGATCACAATATGATGTGAAGACAGAGAATGAATATTGAATTAAATTGAATGAATCTGATAAAAAGAGATTTGACAAAAATATAGAGATGGAAGTAACCTTTCTGGAGGAGTTGTATTCTTCAGAGGAAGTTATAACTTTTCGCGTTGAAATACAATTGTTCATAACCTTTTAGAATTAATTAAGTAATTATATTATTTTCTTTATTAATTAATTAACTTATGTAACTACAATTATATGTATATTAGTACACTTGTACCTTCATATATGATTACACATATTATGAAAATCATGTTATCATAATCATATTCCAACCGTTCTTGCCTGAGAGGAAGACGGTGACCAATAGAAGAGAGAACAAGGCTTGAGATCTCATGGTTGAATGCTCTGATTGCTACTTAATTTCCGATGAATTGGAATGTAGCGAGTGATTACAAACCCAAGAGGTGTGGTGGTATATATAAAGCTAATTGGCTGTAAAGATTAAAGAGAAAGAACAAGAAAAAATGGAAAGTGCATGAGCTGCTTAGCCATAATAAATTGATACATGCCATCGGTAATTTCGTCTCCAATTAAATTATTAAATTACTCGGATTCATCATTCACGTACTCACATAAAAAAAAAAAATGGTGGATTCACTAATTAAATTTCTTGATTTGTTTTACTTTAATTAAATCTTTAACTTTGTGGTAATTACAACTAAGTGGGCTCTGGCAGGGATTATGACCAAAGTTATCCCAATATAAAGTTCTAACGCAAAAAAGAATCTTACCACAAAAAAAAAAAAAAAGAAAAAGAAAAGAACAATTAATCTTGGTTATAAAAATAAATAAGGAAAAGGGAACCATTGACCTAGGAGGATGAATTGAGGAAAGTCAAATTTACATAAAATTCTTTGATCACAAAAAACTGAAAGTTTTTTTTTTAGAGATGTTTAAGTTTCATAGTCTGCTAGTAATGTTAATTTCAATTGAAATTTATATTTAACTTCAATTGAAATTTATGTTTGCGTATCACAAACAAGTAACTTACAATAGGATATTGTTGCACATTTTTGAGCCAAAAAAACCAATGAAGTCAGCCTAATGGACCAAGGTCGAATAAGCTTTCAATGTCTAATGTTGGCCTAATTTATCCGTTTAATGTTGTTTAAGTTTCATTAACTTTCTGGAGTAGTCCTAGGCTCGAGATTTTGTTGTTATCTGTTTATTTGGTATTGTGACATATTTTATTAAATATTCTCGAAATTAAGATATATTTACTCAATTAAATTTGAAAGGACAAAGTAGATTAGAAACTAAACAGTACTACTTGTGAATTAGCAAACATCAAGTTGAAACATCACGATCTTGATGCATGGATTATCAATTTCTTTCAAAAGCAATGGACCCATTAACCCATTGATTAAGCAGCAACCAGTCTTAAAATGATAAATCAACAATTGGGATTATGGGATGAGGGTCCTAGTGATTTGAAATTAAGAAGGACACGCAGCTAATTAATCACGGAATTGTGGCTTTTGTTTTGCTTTCTGATGCTAATTGATGACTTGCTTGCAGTTTAGTTTAACTACTTTTAATTTTAATCATTTACACAACTTAGACAATCATTTAAACATCACAATTTAATTGAAATGCGTCAACTTAATTGAAATGCAACAACTTAAAATATTAAAGACTACAATAATTAATAATGATCTTCATCCGTAAGAGTATAGTTAGATGTTGAAAACAACTCCCGTCAGACCATAATTTCTCTCTTTTTTCCTTAAAAATGTGTCTTACTCATTGGAGTCGTACTCGTGCTGTACTAGCCATGTTCTTCTCATCCATCTTTTTTGTGTTTATTTTGCCCGTTTTTCGTGTCTTTGCTTCTTTTCTTCCAAGGTAATGACATTTTATTTAGCTATTAATCGCAATGAGGCTACCATTTCCTCTCAGAAGGCTAACTCCTCATTTTCCTACCTTTTTTCCTAGCCTTGTTTCGTCTCATAGCCCTAGGCATCGAAAATTAACTTGGATACTGATTTTCTTCAATGACAAGAGGTCTTAATCCCCAACTACATTAGCGGAAACATTTCCAAGCACTGGTGTATGACCAAATGTTCTTGAGGTGGATCTTCAAATATCACCCATCCTTTACAATTTCCTAACAATCATGATAAGTAAAAGGATTTTTTTTTCTTTCAAGTCGTCCATATACAATAGCTCTGCTTGGCGTTGCCAAAAAAAATATAATTACAAAAATTAAGGATTAATTTATGAAATTAAGTTAAATGTAATTAATTATTTAAAAGAACTTGTGAAAACAATTACTTCGTCGTACTAGCATGTCTCCTTTCAGCCTTTGTCAAGGCTTGATTTCATTTGTTCAACCTCGGTTAAAGTTTTTTTTCCAATGGGAAAAACAATTCACCTGGTTTCTTGGGTTTGACGGAGAGATGCCTTCATAAAACTCATAGTATTTTTTGGACGTACTAGTCCAAAGGCCTTCACTTGATTGACAAATACCCTTGACATTATCTTTAGAGACCTATCTATAGGCCTTGCAAAGAGCTTCATTTTCTTTTGCGGTCAAACTTCTTTGGTTGAAGATGTAGCCATTTGAAAAAAATAATGAAAAGTGAAAATTTATATTATTGGAAGAGGTAAGAGAGGTGTGTATATGAAAAGAGTGATTTGAGGTGAATAGAAGGTGAAAAAATAGAATAAAATGAGGTAAAATAGTATGTAAAGGTGAAAAGAATGTGAGAGATTGATGGTGTAAAAATGGATAGGTATTTTGTATGAAAAAAATTAGTTTTATTTATTTATTTATTTTTAAATTTCGTTTGCCAGATGACGTTAGCACGCTGGTTTACCTATCTATACCATTGGATGCCTTCAAATCCAACCATTGGATTTGTACCATTACTAAAGTTTGGCAGCTGGGCCCATGAAACGGGCTGGAAGGGTGGCTGAAGTTAGCCAGCCCGATGGCCTTTTTGCTATTAGTTGGCTTGTGAGCTCCGCAGATTTCTAGCCGAGACCTTCATTGGAGTTTGATTTTTTTTGACAAATCATGTCATTTTTTTGGGTTTTGAACTTTTAGCTTTTTTTATTGGAGATGATCTTAAAAAAAAAAATAAATAAGAAGACCAAAAAGAAATTTAAATAGAAGATGAATGCCTAATATACAAGGAGGAGGATTCTCTCCCCTCCTAATCTTTTTCCCCTTCCCTCCCATTTTATTTAAACGATTACGGTTTAGCCACGTCAACATCTTATATTGATTTTTTTTATAGAGAAAATAAGACAAAAAACAATATGTAAAGAGAAATGAGGGAAAATGATGTGAATAAGAGGAGAAAAGAATCCTACTCCTAACCGTACACACCAAATAGCCATTCCAATTTCAACAAAAAAAATAGAAATAAAAATTAGTCATTCCAATTCCACCATATTATTCTAATAAAAAAAAATCACCATATTTTTGTTATTTACTCCAGTTCACTTACCCTCACGAAGCCACTAGTCTTGACCCATCCACATTCTGACGCTTTAATCTAGGAGAAATTTTTGTAGGTACCCGGCACATATGCTTACATGGAGTTCCTTACCAATAAATGTTTGACACATGTGCTACTACTCTTTAAGTGATAGTTAGGGTTAATGATTTTATTAAAATATGTATTTTATTCTTATATTTATTTTCAGAAAAGAAGTATTATTGACATTTCAAAAATCTTATTTTACATTCCTCACAAATATATTTTTCTTTTTTAATATAAAAAATTTAGAGTGTAAAATAATATTTTTAGAATGCTAATAATAATATTTTTTCAGAAAACAATTAAAAAAGAAAGAAGAGGATTCTTCCGTTCCGTCCGCCGTCACGTCCATCCCCACCATCCCCCGACCCATCCCTTCACCTCTCCCTCTCTCTCTCTCTCCCTTTTTTATTTCTTCTGCGCCAGAAAAAGAAAGAAGGATGAGATTCTTCCGTTCCGTCCACCGCCACGTCCATCCCCACCATCCCCCGACCCATCCCCTCCATCCCCTCACCTCTCTCTCTCTCTCTCTCTCTCTCTCTCTCTCTCTCTTCCCTTTTTATTTATTCTACGCTAGAAAAAGAACACAAAGGATGCCGGCGATCTCAGCGATAGATCTGAGTTGGAGTTTCCTAGGTTCTATGTAGAAGTAAGAGTGAGAGAGAAGAAGTGGAAATAAAAAAGGAGAAAGTCAAAGAGAGAGAAAGGACGGATGAAGCTAGTAAAATCGCCAGCCGGCGATGGAGGTGGGTGCACTGGGTGGTTGATTGGTGTCGTAAGGTTGAGGGTACTAGTGAGTTTTTGATTTTTTTTTTTTTAATTTTTTTAATTTTTTTTTTTTGAGGTTATTTTGAAACAGCCGTCATTTTTTAAAATTTAAAAGAATAAAAATATAAAGGTGTTAAGTGATTATTGGTGGAACTCCATGTCAACATATGTGCCATGTACTTAGAAAAATTTCTCATAATTTAGAGGAGAAAAGTTATCACACATTGACACCAGTGCCGGTACTAACGCTTTTTGAGATCCTGGCGACACTGAAAGTATACCTTAACATAACTTTACGTAAAATAATTATTTGTTTTAGTACTAGTAGGTATGTATATTATTTTTCAGTAAGTTCAATAGAGAAAGATTAGACGAGTCATCAACAATATATTAATGCTTAACATTTTTTTTTTCGCACATGAAATTAATTTTATATTTTTGCCACTAAGGACACTTAATTCTATCAAGGACAAAATGTTATCACATAGTCAGGTCCACCAGTACATGTAAAAATGCTAGTTTTATCATCATAAGCATAACTATAAGCCTGTGGGCACTGGCTCTTGAAGATCTTTGAATATGCGGTCGGAGGGCACGTCGTAGGACTCCCATAAGCACCTGTGCAACAATACTGCGGTTGATTGAAAGCCAAACATGCACTTTTGCAAGCAATCACACTCCCATCTGATCCTTTCACACCCAATTCATCAGGGCAAACACTGTTCACATCAGCCGGGCAGCTCGTCGCACTACATCCACCGGACCCTCCCTGTGGGGCTACTCCAATAGGCAAGTTGAAGCCATCGACGAGGCTGACATCGTAGAAATCTCGTCCTCCACCTGGAGCAAGTGTCAACTCTATCAATGATGCTGGTGGGATTGCACCAGCACCGTTGCATGCGACTTGGCCAGATGCACAGTCTGCAGTTTCACAAACAAACTTTCCTGATGCGTTTGTAGAGCAACGAGTTCTGCCCCAGAAGCGACCGGACCATGGTGAAGGGACGTCCAACGATGAGGAGGCACCAGATGCTAGCTCAAATCCGGTGGAAGATAATTGTGCACCACTCCCGGTCAGGGTTCCTGGCCAAACTGTATAGGGGCACTTGTTTTGGAATGTGAATTTGGCAGCATTAGCACCTGCATGTCATGCAACACAAAAGGAAAACAAAAGAACGAACATAAAAATCATCTTAAAAACATCAAACTTCCGTTCTTTCAAATTTGAATTTCATCACATTAAATTAATATATCTCATATCAATACGATCCTGAATTTCTTTATATTATGCTAATGCCAACACAAATTAGATCCCAACTCGAATATGAATTACAGACAAGAAATAAATAAAAATAAACAAGTGTGTGAACACACACACAAAAAAAAAAAAAAAAAAAAAAAAAAAACAAAAGTCTACAAAAACCATATCTAAAAATTATAAACAGATCCTAATTTTTACACACGAATTTCCTTATAACATAATCTATACAAAGCTTTTTATGGCCGATATATTATCATTTAAATCAATAAATAACTTTATAAAAATAAATAAAGGTGTACAGAAGTAAAAAATGAGCGTCCTGAAATCATTTCTCCAAAACCAGCATTACTTTTCCAAATATCAAATAGATGACAAGGACAACAAAAATAAATCCCAACCAAGAAAAGGAAAAATTGATTAAGAAAGAATTGATATACTCTATGATATATATGGCTGTAAATATATATAGTTCTTGCCTGAGAGGAAGATAGTGGCAAATAGAAGAGAGAGCAAAGCTTGAGATCTCATGGTTGAATACTCTGATTGCTGCTTAATTTGGATCTAATTTTTCCAATGAATTGGAATGTAGTGATTATAAACCCAAGAGGAGTGGTGGTATATATACAAGCTAATTGGCATTAAAGATTAAAGAGAAAGAACAAGAAAATGGAAAGTGCATGGGCTAGCCCAGCATGCTTATCCATAATAAGTTGATACATGCCATTGGATATCGTCTCCATTTAAATCATTAAATTAATCGGATTCGTCATTTATGTACACAAAACAAAAGGAAAAATGAGGTGGATTTAGTAATTAAATTTGTTGATTTGTTTTGTTGTAATTAAATCCTTAACTTTGTGGTAGTTACAACTAAGTGGGCTCCGGCAGGGATTAGAACCAAATTCACACCAATATAAAGTTCAAAACCAAAAATGAAAAGAACATTAATCTTGGTTGTAAAGATAAGGAAAATGGAAACATTATAGACCAAGGGAGATGAATTGATGAAAGTCAAATTTTCATTTTTTTTTTTTTTAGTAAAGTTACACTTGCCACTTATTTGTATAATCTCTAATAAAGGTAGAGCTCGTAAAATGCATATAGGTCTCATCTCTATTAGAGAGACGGCACAAATAAGTGGTAAAAGTAGCATTTTTGTTTTTGTTAGAAAATTTACATACTTTAAACAATACAATTATCTAGACACGCGAAATTATTGGATTTGTACAGATATTTAAGTTTCATAGTCTGCTAGTAATGTTAATTTCAATTGATATTCACATTTAAGAAGCAAGTATAAAATGAATGCCTAATTGTTTGGACCCAATATTGCATCATCGGTCCGTGCAGTTGAGGCCGTTGAATAAACAGAGTTCGGGGCAATTGGATGGTGAAGTATTAAGGTGATTTCCAATTATTTCATATTACCATGGTTGTGATAACATTTAGGCTTGAAATACAGGCTTGCACCGATGATAGATAACCTGAGTTGAAAGGCCATAATTCAACCCAGTAATAATTCCTTAGGCCAGTTGGCTCTCAACCTAACAAAGCACTGATTCAACCGAGTCCCTTTAGTAGTATGACTATTAAAAGATCGAGTTCATGCTTGGCTTGATCGAGTCTTAAGTGAATTAAACATGCTATCCATCAAGATAAATTTTGATAAAATTCGAATTATTATAAGGATCCGAATTTATATTTGACCAGATGAGGATGAATCAAGTTCATAAATGGACTAGGTATAGAATCCTGGTTCAAGTCAAAGAGGTCGAGACTGGATATAGATTGAGTTTTGGCTAAAGAAGGGACTAAAGGGATAAAGAGGGAATATTTGGGTAAATGCCGAGTAAGCATAGTCCTATCAGGACTCAACCTGGCAAACTTGTTTATCACGAAGTCTACTTTATAAATAGAAGAGGTTATGCAACTTGAAAGCCCCCTTTAACTCAACAAACAACTCAAAAGGATTTATGCGAAAACTCTCTCTATGGAAAACTTTTCTCACAACCTTGAGAAAAACACTAATTACTCTAATACTCTCGTCAACACATTTTCAGTTTGGACAATTAAACAATATTGTGTTGACAATTAGCTATGTGGAGCAAAAAATAATCTCAAAAATCCAAAAGATGACATATGGACTTTTTATCAAGAAAGACAAGATTGCCCTCATTAAGTAGGTAGGGCACACTAATATTCCCACGCGCAACTCAACATCCCTGGAGGTTCAAGTAGCTGACCTAGCTTCCCTGCTCGTGGCATGGAAAAGTCAAAGGCATTAAAGATATAATTAATCACCAAATCCTATCTTTAATACATTCCCAATTGAGATCAACTCCATCAAGTAAGAAACTTTTATCATAATCAATTGTGGATGTTTCCATCATCATCCTAAGATATTGTTTCCTAGTTAATCTCTTGATAATATTATTTCTTCATTCATCCAACAGATGACACACCTTGGCCAATTGGTTGGCGCCAAGTGTAGGGCAAAACCTAACCCTATGACCGACCACCTCCTTCAAATACCTCATCTCCACCATTCATTTGTAAGCTTCTTGGTACGCATACAAGCCCTAAAGACTCACTCTTTTCAGAGATATTGACATAGGCATTAGAGATCTATTGGCCAAAGCCCCTACCTTGTGGGCATGTGAGGCTTTGGTCTTTGATCAAATGTACTAATTGTTTTGTAGGTACAAATTCGTCAAGATTGAAGACGGCGAATTTTTGCTACCACAAATTTGTGCTTTCATTAAGAGCTTGATACCGAAGAATGCTCTTGCATTCACCTTTTGAAATTTTCTATTATATATGTAAAATTTCCCACGTGGTCATTGCCCAGCAGCCAACGTTAAGGACCACTCCAGTAGCAGCCCAAGTCGAGGCCCAGAAGCAAAGTGGCGCAACAACTACCCGCAGATAAGAGGCCCATAAGCAAGCAGGCTATGATGCCCAAGCTTCCCAGGCCTAGACCAACCAACAACAGCTAAAGGCCATATGCAGCCCAGCAAGTAGCAGCATAGACGCTCTAAGCCCAAGGGCAAGTGACCCACACATGAGCCCAGCGCGCAACAACCCAGGACCAGGCAGGCCAAATCTCCTTACTCAGCCCTCGCACGACCTACTCGTTTTGCCGACCCAGCTCTTGTTCCAGACCGATCTAAAGTTGGTCCAGCCAACTTAAATTCTGGCCATCGGACCAGTGATTGAACCAAGCCTATTTTTGTCCTATTGTTTCCTAGGTTTGCCCATTCTGGGCCCGAGTTTTTCACCTGCAACTCACTACCTTTCCACCACTCATGGAGATGCTCATCATCCAAGCTCTTCCAACCCAAATGGCGATCAACACCTATCCCGGTAGGTTGCAGGCTTATCCAATGCCCTCGTGCAATAGATGACTATGGTTGAACAAACTCTTGGAGCACATCAAAATGCAATGCGCCCTCACAAGGTGTCCAGGAGCAGGACAAAGACATAATATGTAATCTTTATTTAATTACTCATGATATTATGCATGCATACATGAATTGTTAATCACTGTGTTTAAGCTATCTTTATGTCTTAATGCTTCACGACCATTAGGATGTTTAGATAAGTAATTGGATGCAATTTTTGTTGGAATGCCCCGAAAATTAAGGAATTCTTCTTGTGGTTAATAATTGTAATTTCACCCGTCTTAAAGGTTGCATGGTTTTTCAAAAAGTTTTTGCAAAGTGTAATGAGTCATGTATGTTTACATTTGATCTACGTTCTATCTTGAATGCCACAAGTAGAATATGCATTAGGAAAACCTAACCTTCAAAATTGCATGTGTAATTCATAAGTAATTGGTAAAACTACGGATTGTTAAGGTGACAGCAAAATCCTAGTGCCTTTTTATAATTGTTTTTCAAAACTGTTTATTTTCCAATTGGTTTCTTTAAAATTGTTTTCTTGCTGATTTCATTAAATTTTTTTTTATTAAAATTAGTTTGTATTATTTTAAATTGCAAAATCAATCTTTTCTAAACTTTGGTTTAAATAATTAATTAAGATTTGGTTTTAACATAAATTATTTTAAATAATCTCTGTGGAGAACGACTTTGCATGAATATTCTTACAACAACTGTTTTGTACTCTTGCAAGTATTTTTAAGTGTTTTTATTTTTACTTTTGCAAGTGATAAAAATCCTATCAGAGAAGTCAATTGTAGATAAAAGTCCACGTGCCAACTCCAAAATTTTTGAATTATTTTTTCGTTTCACAAATGCTCCTTGTTGTTCTGTGCACATGAGGTGTAGACTTCTCAAGTTGTGTGAGCTTGCCAAAAGTTAGTTTCTTGGTTGCAGTGGATTCTAAGCTCTGACTTGTGAAAGTCTTCTGAGAGATGGACACCAATTGCCTCTAGAATATATTTAACTCTACCCTATATAGAGGATTAAATAAACCTAGAAGACAATTATTTTCCAAACAAGAAAGACAGAAAACCAGAGGAAATTGTTTCCCCCAAATTTCTCCTTTGCTTGCCCCATGGAGAGTTGATTGATGTTGTCATTGTTGGTGTTGTAGCCCCAAGGTAAGCAAAAAGGAAACTTTTTACTTCCCTTTTTTCTCGTTGTGGCTCAGTTGGAGCCTTGTGGAGTCGGTGGCAAGCTGTGTTTAAAATATCAGAATTGGTGGAAATATCGATATGCAAATTTGTGGGGATATCAACGGATATATCAAATATTGATATAGATTGGTTGCCTTCGATGAAAATGATGAAAATTTAACATGAAACTTTAATGATTGTCAAACATTAGTTTGGACAAAATAGAACAGTTTCTCCGATATTTAATAGATGCATAAGAAATATCAACATATTTGTCAATTTTAGCCTAAATTTAAGAGTTTCTCTGATATCAGGTGAAGTTTAGATTTCATCCCTCATTTCCATATCTTTTTATGATTTTTTTTTAATATTTCCATGAAAATATTGATCGTATCGAAAAAAATTTAAACACTAGCTGCAAGATGCGAGGTTCGGTCAGCACGGCTATGAGCTAAGAGCTGAGGTCGTCTTGGGTCGAGTCACACGTAGGAGGAGGAAGCGATGGGTTGTCGGTAGGACTGGCGCACTGGGCTATGTCTTGGTGAGTTGTCTTTTTTTTTTTCTTTTTTTTCTTTTTTCTTCCCCTCGAATAATCTTCTGAATATTTCTGGAATCTTTGTGTAGGATTTTTTCAAAATGTCTTCTTCAAGTGCAAGAGTGATGATTATCCCCACCTAAGTACTGTCAAGGCGGGTCTTCTAGAAGAGTAGGATAATTCGGAAGGTGAAAGAACATAAATTAATACAGGTGTGTGGAAGGTAATAAGGGGTGTGTGGGTAGCATCACCCAACAAAAATGAGCTCCTGTGATAAAAAAGAGTGGTGCTATCCACACAGCCGTTTTACATTCACAGACACCTCTCACTTTTCAACCATCAGATAAAGTAAATTAAAGATAATCTAATCAAATGACAGAAATTAATAGAGAATATATAAAAGGTTAAAAAAAAAAGTGTAAATAGCTCCACCCTTTAAAAATATTTTAACACCACCACCTACCTCCCCGTCCCTTGTCTTCCTCTCTACCATCAATTTTAAAGCACCAACATATATTTCCCCCACAACCCAGCTAGCCGCACAAAACTATTTATTTTTCATTTGTTAGTATTTATTTTTAATC